TTTAATCTTTTTTAAGTTCCGAGTCTCCAATCCAGCAGGGCTTCGCCTCTCTCCAAAATTTCCAACCCTCAAAAATGAACCAAGGCCTAGCCTATTTATAGGCACTCAGATCTGTGCCTAGGCACAGATCTGGGCTGGCCACCTCAGGGTGGCGCGGCTCTGGGCCGAGCCACCTTGAGGTGAGGTGGCTCGGCTTGGGCCGAGCCACCTGAAGTTGGCTCGGCTTCGGCCGAGCCCCTCTAGGTGGTGGTTTTTGGTGTTTTCCGCCTTTGGTTCTGTCCGTGATTTGATTAACTTAGTCTTTGATTTGGCTGATCTGATTTGGCAGTAAATCCGGATCCCGATTAGGCAGTAAATCCGCTTCTGAGTTGGAGTCCGAAACCGATCTTGATTCGATCGTCATTCGTCCGAGTATGCCTTTGGTTGGATGACTCGTTGACTCTTCGAACCCTTGGCTTGATCCCGCACGTGTATGGATGCATTCTGTCGCTTGATGCGATTCGTCGATCTCGTCGCCTCGTTGGTTCGTCGGTTTGTGCCGAGCTGAGCTAAAGGACCTATAAGCAATTTTATATGCCTACATGCACCTAATCTAATTGTTTTTGGTAGAACTTATATACATAAAGTTTATAAAATTTGCACTTAGAAATATTCTCGGTTATGCTATTAAGCCATATTTTTATATGTATTTACTCTTAAATCAGAACCAATAGAGATATGATGTTCAAAAAAGGATTATTTACATCTCGACACCAATGTTATAGTGTTACGACATGTATGTACAAAGATAATCTTAAGTTTTTAAACCAAGATTACTCATATAATCCTAAAAATACTCTCATTAGGGTTACTCGTGTAATTGCAGTCATTAACCCAAGAATACTTTCATTAGAAATTTTGTATCTATGTAGATAACCCTAAGTCAAAGATGTCAGATCGTTTCTTGGTCATGCTGGTTTTTACTGACGTTTCGTTAATGATTTCAGCAAAATTGCTAGATCATTGACCAATCTCTTAGTTAAGGATACATCGTTTGTCTTCTCTCTTGAATGCCTCAAAGTTATCTCTTAGGCTAATAGGTCATTTTCCCCTTGTTCTGAGGCTTCTTACTCATGTTAGTCCTCAAACTTTTTTTCCCTCAACTTGGTGCCCTATACTGGGGCTTCATACTCCAAATGGTCCCCCTACCTTTTTTCTCGACTTCATACATGTACTGGGGCTTGATACTCAAATTAGTCCCCCCTACTTTATTTTAAATTAAACTCCCAATTACTTTCAACATCACACTAAACTCTCCAAGAACTTTAAAAAAACACCCTACTAGGGCTGAGCACGGTTCGGTCCAAACCGAAAAAACCGACCGAACCAACCCGAATCGATCCGAAAAAATCGGTTTTAAGAGTAGGGCGGTTCGGGTCGGGTTGAAAACCTTTTAATCCGAACCGACCCGAACCGACCGAATATCCCACGGTCTAAATACCCATTCTTCTCAAACCCGACCCGTCCCCAAAGACAGTCTCAGACTCTCAAACCCAAAACGCCTAAACTTCCCTTCCCACTTTCCTAGTCGCCTCCTCAGTTCCTCTCTCTCACTCTCTCTCACTCCTCAGTTCCACGATCCACCTCTCTCACTTCTTCTTCCTCTTCTTCACTTCCACAATCTTCATGGCCGAGGCCGAAACATCTCCTCAGGCTCAGGATCTGTCTCCGGCTTTGGGGGACACCCGCACCCGTTGTCGTCGCCGATAACGAGGTATAAACTTTATCTTTTGCTCTTTTTTAAGCTTCTAACTGTGATTATTCTTTAATTTTTATTTATTTTATTGGATACAACAGCTAGTAAGTTGAGATATCGGCCTATCAGTTTCCTGTTCATTTATGCACTCCTATTCTCTTATGATTTCTGAGTTTATGCTTTGATAACGATGCTTAATTTGTTTTCTGGTATATATATTTTCATGGATGATGATTTTGTTCCTTCCCCCCCTCTTGTTTTTCCAAATTAAGTCGGCAACCCCTGAAATACTACTATTTAATATTCATGGGATCCCTTACCCGTCACGATATATTCTATTTGATTTAGTATTTGGCAAGTCTACTGTTTAAATCATTCTGAAAATAAAGTTAGAACCGAACAAACCGAACCGCACCGCACCGCACCGAACCGACTTGCAACGGTTCGGTTTAGTTTTGAATTATATGTGGTTCGGTTCGGTTGTTCAAAATTTGGTAAAAACTGACCCGAATCGAACCGTGCTCAGCCCTAATCCCCCCCCCCCCCCCCCCCCAAAAAAAAAAAAAAAAAAAAATTTTAGAATCACACAAAACCCCTGATAACTTGTAAGTCACACTAAATCCCCCAATAAATATTAGAATTACAGAAAATTCCCAAAAAGTTTCTGCATTTTGTAGTTAACCCCAAAACTTAGAACCAAAAAAAAAACATCAAAAGGCATTTGAAGGACAACTTCAGAAAAAAAAAGGTTCTTGGCCCTAACCTGAGCAAGGAAGAGGAAAATGAATCATGAAAAATAAGATATTTCTATTTTTTAGATTGAAAATATAAAAATGTTATAATAGGTTTTTAAAAATAATTTAAGGAGTATTTTAGTCTTTTTAAGTCACAGGAATTGCATCGCCAAATATATCGATTAACTTTGAGAGTTTTCTGAAAAAATAGGGATTCAGTGTGATTTTAAAAGTTATTAGAGTTGAGTGTGATTTTAAAAGTTATTAGAGGTTTAGTGTACTTTTTAAAAATTCTCAAGGGATTTAGTGTAATGTTGAAAATTATTAGGAATTTATCGCGAAATACTGGAAGTTAAAATAAAGTAGGGGAACAAGTTTGAGTGTGAATACCTGGTTCCAGGATCAAGTTGATAAAAAATAAAGCAGGCAACCAATTTGAGCACGAAAGCCTAGTACAAAAACCAAATTGGTCTTTTGCCATAATCCTAACAATATTTAAAACGTAGGATAAACTATCCAAGTGTTCGTTATAGCCTATATGCAATTGAATTTGGATCCTTTTAACTACCGAAAAGTAGCGAATAGATCATTACTTTCTATTTGAACTGTTAATTATTTAATGGATGATTGTAAGCAATTTTGATTCTTCCAACCATATCTTGGTGAATTCTACTTATTCATAATTTATACTAAAGAAGATGAATCACACTTATTAATTAAAGAATCAAAGGTTAGATTCAAGGGAAAAATGTGTCCATGCCCCAAAAACAGAAGCTTCATGTGCTGCAGCCCCTCCTACTTTCTCCCATGTGGTTCAGCCCCTTGAAGTGTGACATTTTGTGCTGCAGCCCCTTTTTAACAATTATTAGATGCCAGCTAAGCTAAAATCCCCAAAATAACCTTATCCCCTCTTCTCAATCCTTCAAACCCAGTTCTCTCTCTCTCTCTCTCTCTCTCTAACCCCACTCAAAGGTAGGGCATTTCCCATTGATATAGGAACTTCTGTACCAGAAACAATGGTATAAATTAGAGCTAACTTGGTATAAATTAGAACTAATGTGGTATAAATTAGAACTAACGTGGTTAAAATTAGAACTAATTTGTTATAAATTAGAAAAATTAGAACTAATTTGTTATAAATTAGAACTAACTTGTTATAAATTAGAACTAATATGGTTAAAATTAGAACTAACGTGATTGTTATTAACGTGGTATAAATTAGAACTAACGTGGTTAAAATTAGAACTAATTTGTTATAAATTAGAAAAATTAGAACTAATTTGTTATAAATTAGAAAAATTAGAACTAATTTGTTATAAATTAGAACTAACTTGTTATAAATTAGAACTAATATGGTTAAAATTAGAACTAACGTGGTATAAAATAGAACTAACTTGGTAAAATTAGAACTAACGCGGTATAAATTAGAACTAACGTGGTATAAATTAGAACTAACGCGGTATAAAATAGAACTAACACGTTACAGAATAGAACTAACACTGTGCATATTAGAACTAACACACTACATAATAGAACAACACTGTGCAGAATAGAACTAACACGCTACAGAATAGAACTAACAATGTACAGATTAGAACTAACACTGTAGCGTGTTAGAACTAACACTGTAGCGTGTTAGAACTAACAATGTAGCGTGTTAATGTCTTAATGTTAACTAGCATTGTTTGGCTCGATCCACTGCCAAAATGGTTAACCACGTTACACTGGGATCTCACAAGTTACATTATAAACACTACAAACTCTCACTCACCTACCCATGTGTGACTAATTTTGGGATGCTAAAATCTAAATCCAGATATGGACCTACATTTGTTTCAGTTTTTGATCCTACAGTGCTTGTTAGATTCTGATTTGGATAAAACATACTTTATTATTGGATTTGGGTTATACACAAATCTGAACTGAATCTAACTTCACTATGTCCCTACAAAACAAAAATTTTAGATTCTTCTCAAAGCTTCAAACATTGTCCGAGGGGTTAATAATATGAACCACACGGGAGAAAGTAGGAGGGGCTGCAGCACTTGATAAATAATATCCGAGGGGTTAATAGCAAACTGACAAAAGTTTCACGTTCACGAGGACCATTCGACAAAAAGTTACCCCCGTTCTCAGTTACTTCGCCTCCTAATTTTCATACAAGAACAATTTTTCAAAACGGACTGATTTTTTTTTTTTTTTTCAAAACCGACTGTTTTTTTTTTTTTTTATCAAAATCGACCCGGTTTTGTGATTAGGCTGCTAATCACTATCCTAAATAGTCGGGGTTGGCAACCCCGACTATTTAGGAGGGTGTTAAACCCTAATTAAAGGGTGATTAGCAGGTTAATCACTATCCTAAATAGTCGGGGTTGCCAACCCCGACTATTTAGGATAGTGATTAGCAGCCTAATCACAAAACCGGGTCGATTTTGATAAATAAAAAAAAAAACAGTCGGTTTTGAAAAAAAAAAAAAATTTCAGTCGGTTTTGAAAAATTGTTCTTCATACAACAATCATCACTCCCCGTTCTATAAATTTGCCTTCGCCACCCCCCCATCTCATTTTTCTGAGGTGGAGAATTTCCCTCAACCCAAAAAACCCAGATAACAGAGGAAACCCATGTCATAATTTCCTCCAATTTCCACTGAAATTCAATCTCAATGGCCTTATTCGCTCCCGCTCCTCCTCCTACCCTCTTCAATTTATCATCAAAATCCAATCTTTGCTACAAACCTCAGCTCAGTTTGTTCCACAAGAAATCCCCACCTCTGCTGAGGTCTGCTGCTGATAATGGAGCTGGGGTTGTAGTGGAGGAGAAATTGGAGAAGGAGGAGGAAGAAACCCAAGAGACCAATTTGGGTTTGGGGGATAATGGGGTTGCTTTGAAGGTAGAGGCTCCTCCTCCTTCTTTCAAAGATCCTAGATGGGTTAAGGGGACTTGGGATTTGCAGCAGTTTCAGAAAAATGGGAGCACTGATTGGGATGCTGTGATTGATGCTGGTTAGATTTCCCTTTTTGTAGTGGTTTTTTTTTCCTTTTTAAATTGGGTTGATATTTACTGTAGATTTAGTTATTACATGTTAACTTTATGTTGATGTTAAGTGAGGGTGCATGTAGATGGTGTTCTCATTATTGACTACAAAGCTGCTGACTTTTAAGCAACATTAACAATCAATTATTAACTGCAGAAAATTGTTGGGGGCGCTGAAGTTTGGTACTTTAGAGGCTAAAAACATATGGAACCACTCTCGGAGTTGCCCATTGATCCTGCGTTGTGCAATGAGCACACTCTAAATTGCATTTTTTTTTGGTCAAAATAGCATCAAATTCATGTTCTTCATTTAGTCTGTTAAATGGCTTTACTATTTACCTATACTGTGTGCATCCTTTTCTCATGTTAGAAACGGAGGACAAATTTTCAATACCGACACTTTTTCAAAATTATTAGCAAAAATCGACTCTTTCAAAAGTATTCGCCAAAACCGTCGGTTTTGGCGAAAGAAGTTTCCAAACTTCACGGGAGTTGAAGTCCCGTGAAGTTTAGCAACTTAATTAAATGGCTGCTAAACTTCACGGGACTTTGAAAGTCCCGTAAAGTTTCAAAGTTTTTTTCATCAAAACCGACCTAGTTTCAGCCCGACGGCTGAAACTAGGTCGGTTTTGACAATTATTTTCAAATGAGATCGTTTTTTGGGAATATTTTTGTCAATGGGACTGTTTTGAAAATTTGTCCTAGAAACGGATAATGTTCTGATCTTAGTTCAAGTTAAAGCAAGCATTTGGCATTAAGTTCTAGTTGTTTGATTATTTGATATAAGTCATGGGTTCGCAAATTATCTCAAAGTGCAGCCGAGTCAGTGTTGGGTTGTTGGGTGAAACCGGCTGGCTGAAACCGAAGGCCTTTCATTATGTTAAGCTCTAGATCAAGACAAGCGATTGCTTCTCCTACCTACCTTATTTCTCTAGTCTGATGTCAGGTTAAGGACCTTAAGGTACTGTTTTGATTTGGAAATATGAGGTGTTTTACGGGTTTCACAAGGCTCGGAGGTTTCTGTCACACAAGGGAGATTAGAGCTACTTCATTTTTATAGAAAATCTATGAGCAGAGAGGCTTAAAGGCTCCCATTGAGGGAGACTGAAAGATATGAAAGACACCAGGATCAGCAAAAACGGGAGGGGTGAGATTGATATAAGAACTATTACTTCCTCTTGGTTGTTTGTCATTGTGTGCGCTATGTGTCCGTCAACATCCCGAAATATTCCTAAACCAACTTAGATTAAGGTAAACACAATGTGTATAGCCAACAGAATCCTGAATGGGGAATAACACAGAATACTAGGAGAATAACAGCTGTAGATACTCAAAGGGGACCTGATGAGATGGAAGAAGAAAAAATGGTCCACAATGTCAATAAAGTATCCTCGGTGTAAACGACGGGAACTTGAATGAAAAAAGAAGAAACAATGCTGTCGAATTAGCTTTGATGCTTGCCATGGATATTATATCAGACACCAGAATTACACAAATACATTATAGTATAGTCTTTTTTCATAGGAAAAAATTAAAAGAAATCTTTTGGTAGTTTAAGTTATTCTTTAGAAAAATAGTAAATTAGCTTATCAAATTATTTAAGATTCAATTATCTCCAAATGGAAGTATGACATATATATTTATCATTACAACTGATCGGAAAGTTACATGAGAATATAGTTCAAGCATTTGCTCATTGTGGGAGACCACATGAGGTGTTCATTGGAGTCCAATATTTGCTTTTTCATTACTATGTCTTGTTATTCCATCTTTCTTCTTGTTTATGATATACTACCGGTTTGCAAGAATTAGCACTATACTTGTATCATGACTCAAAGTCACATTAGACGCTTAATTGACATGAAAATATTCTCATTTGTCTAAATCTATTAGAAAATTTATGTTGTTCAATTTGCTGTATTTTTTTGCGATAATTCATTTGCTGTAATGTTATTATTAGAATTTATATTTCTTTATAATAAGCATAAACTCGAAGAAGTTGACTCTCATTAGAAGCATTTATTTCCATTTCAGAGGCCAGGAGAAGGAAATGGCTGCAAGATAATCCCGAATCATCAAACAATGATGATCCTGTAGTCTTTGATTCATCGATAGTACCTTGGTGGGCATGGACGAAAAGGTTTCATCTCCCTGAAGCTGAAAGACTAAATGGTTGGTTTCTGCATCTTATGTTGAGTTCGATTGCATATAATGTTGTACCTTACATTTTCTTAAGTCTAGTTAAACTATTTGTCACCTTATTCTAATTGGAAGTAGCACTAAAATTGTTAAATCTGGGTAAAATTCACTGAACTCCCTAATTTTTTTATTTTTATTTTTATTTATTTATTTATTTTTTATTTTTTTTTGGGGGGGGGGGGGGGGGGGGGG